CGCTTTGAAACAGGGGTTCCCTGTGCTAGGGTGACTAAGTGTACGTCTCTCCGTGTGTGTATGCTGGTGAACAGTCAGATTTATTTATATTTTTTTTGCAAGCATTGAATAGTCTAAGTTTTAAATATTATTTATCCCCATCCGTTCGTATTTATATTAAAGAAATTCTGTACCCTGATTGTTCAGAAGGTTTCTTGGGCCTTTTGTTCAATGGTGTATTGGCGTACATATAAACATTTATTTGAAAGGGAAGTATAATTCCTTTATGAAAACGGTAATGATGCAATAAAACCAGAGAGGATCCAGCATTTGAAAACAGTGGTTTAGGTTTGTCACATCCGGCAAAAATGAAAAAGCAATCTGTAAATGCTAGATTTGTTTTGAGAGTTTTACATTCCTTGCTGCTCACATTCTAAAAAAACAAAAAACAAAAAAATAAAATTTTTATTCTGATTAATATCCGTGTTGAGAAGGGCTTTTTTCCCCCCTGAAGAAATACAGCAGGGAGACTAGCTGGCAGAGTAGGCCGCGGCAGGCCATCGACTCTGACGAGAGGCCTGGCCAGGCGGCTCGCCTGAGAGTCAGATGAATCAGGAAGAAGGTCTGGGTTGCTGGCGGCGGCGGCGGTTCTGGACGTGTTGTGCGGCGGGCCCGCTGGGCTGCCTGGTTCCCAGCTGCTGCCGAGGGTAGCGAGGGCGCGGTGGCGGCGGATTGTAGGTTCTTCAGAAACAAAGGCAGCCGGGCCCTCGGCGCGGCGGGGGGCGCACAGGTGCTGGGCGATCCGGAGAAGGGAGAATGCTGGGCGTTCTCCCTCCTCTGGTCAAAAGGGACTAGCCTACGCCTTAACTTCCGAGAATCGCCAGTCGCTTAAAGGATGCTGAGCATTCGCCAGAAACGATCGGACTCGGGGTCTCCAACACGGATGCTTACCGGTCCATGATCAAGTCAGAAGGAAAGATTTTTCCCCCCTAAAATCGTCACGTAGAGCGAAGCACTTCCGGAGGGACCGAATCTTCTTCCAGATTCCAGCCATAGGAGCTCGGTAGAGTCTCCCTGAGCCCTTCCTTAGGCTGCAAGGAATCCTTTCCTTGATTCCTAGCTTCAGTTTCTTTCCGGAATTTAGATTTGCCATTCCCTGGATTTATTTCCTCTCCGTTTTCCCTCCCAGCTTTCTTTTTATGGCCCCAGGGGAAGGGGGGGGGGAGACAGGGAGAGAGGGAGAGAGGGAGGGAGAGAGAGGGAGAGAGAAAGAGAGAGGGAGGAGGTATCTTTCTACTAAAATGCAATTATATAAGTAGTCTTTCATTTGATGCTACAGGAGCTAAATACTACATTTCCACTTCTGAATGCACTGACTGGCTGACAGGCAAAGTCAGGCCCAGTAAAAGGGAAATAGTTCCACCTTCAGGTTACAAAATTACCGAGAAAAGGAACCAAATTCAGAAAAAAAACGCAAACCTCAGGGTTACAGCCTGTCATCACCACCTCCCCTTCAGAGTTGGAAGTGAGGAGGAACCAGCTGTATCTGGGGGATCTGGAGCAACTGATGTGAGAAATAAACCTCCATGCTCCCTGGATTGTATAAATCTGAGGCAGAAGTGAAAAATGTCGCCATTTTGTTTGCAATCCAAAATATCCATCATCATGGCCTCTTTCTGCACAATCCACTCCCTCCCCAGCTCCTTCAGAGAACCCTTAGAAAGCAGGCATAGAAGCCATTTTTAATACCTGTTGGGTCCCAAAGTGCTGCTTTTGGGGAACCTCTTCATGTTTTAAGAAAAAGAAAAAAAGACTCAGAGGATGCAAGGCTGGACAGCTGTAGAAGGCTGAGTATTTTACACTGAGAAGGGCTTTCCCCACCCTCATCCTCTGGCTCTAACATATATTCCCCTCCCCCCAAAGATTTTTCACCTGTGGGGGAAGTGGATTTTCCTCCTCCCTCTCCAAACCCCATGCCAAACTATGGCTCATACCACAAATGCAGAGGGCTGGGAAACCAGCGTTTGAGAGGACTGGACTCCCACCTTTTAGTGGTTCACTCTGAGCAGATTCTCAAGTCTTCTGTTTAACAATTCACTTTACAGACATGTGTAAAATTACCTGGGGAAAAAAAATAAGGAACAGAGGGAAGGTGGGAGGGATAAATGAATCTCTACCCAAGGATGAAAATCTTTCAGGAATACCACTATTTGAACTCATTTCTAAAAATCTACTCCTTCGCGTCTACCTTCCCTCAGGGCAGAGATTGTAAAATGAGATTCTAATATGATTTCCCATAGCTTGCCAGTCAAGGCATTCATTTTAGCTTTCAAAGAAAAAATATTGATCTCACCCCCAGCTTTCTAGATATTATAAATAAATCCTTATTAAAATATCTCCTGAGTTAAAGTAATAGATTTAGGGAAGATTTCAGTGTTGAGCAGTCTTAGAAAAGGGTTTTCTTCCAGATGGTATTTGAATTAAAGTGACTGAGAGAGGCAGAAAGCTCTCACCCACGCAGCCTCTGACAAAGACCAGTGATGTGGAGGCAGCTCTGCTCTCTGTAATCCCCCCCTTCTCCCTGCAATATTTTCTAGTAAAAACAAATATCCAAATGTACCATCCCAGCATTCATAAAGTATCTTTCCTAAAAGAAGCATTTTCCACTACCCCCCAGTTTTTTTTTTAAAAAAAGACTAGTTTTCCTTATTTACTTGCGTTTCTTGCTCTCCTCTTTGCCCGGCCACATTTGATCTTGGAAAAAGCTTGAAGCTGAAATGTGTTCTTAAGGGCCAGAAGCTGTCAAGGCTTTTGGTGAGCAAGATTGATCGCACCCAGACTTCCTTCAGAGCTTTGTTTGGAATAAAAGCAAGAAAACTGAAAAACCTTACATTTTCCAAAATAGCATCTCTATCTGTAAGGCAGTACTCAGGCTGGTCAAGGTTGGAGGCCACTTTATATCTCATTTCTAACCTAAACTCCCTTTGATGCCGGCCTTAGAGATAGAGTTATGCCCTTGTTCCTTGATCAGTCTTTCTTGTTTCCTACGTAGATTTTTCTCCCTGCCAAGCCAACCTCTCTCTCCTTGGCCATCAGAATGATTTATTTTCCTGCCACTGATGCCTGCCGGCCTGGGGGAGTCTGATCACTTGGTCCATTTCAAAGGAAGCCAAAATGAATCACCATCTTCAGAGGATTGGGAGAAAAAGAGGCACCTTCCAGAGGTCTCCCTCTCTCTCACTCACATGCTCTCTCTCAGTCTTTGTAGCTTGGTGTTTTTTGTTTTGTTTGCTTTTTAAGTTATTGTTTGATAACTAAAAATATTATCCTGTGAGCCCTCCAATGCTGAGCACTGGACAAGACATACTATTTCAAGCATTAGAGAGAGAGGGGGGAAGAAAAAGAGGAGGAGGAGGAGGAGGAAGAGGAGGAGGAGGAGGAGAAGAGGAAGAGGAAGAAGAAGAAGAAGAAGAAGAAGAAGAAGAAGAAGAAGAAGAAGAAGAAGAAGAAGAAGAAGAAGAAGAAGAAGAAGAAGAAGAAGAAGAAGCAGTAGTGGAGGAGGAGGAAGAGGAAGAAGAAGAGGAGGAGGAAGAGAAGCAGCTTTATAATTGTTTATTGGGGTTGCAACTGTCCCCTCCCCAGTGCCTTTTCCCACGACAGAGTTCGGGTGCAAACCTGCCTGGTGCCCAAGGAGCAGGAAGATGTGGGAGGAAATTCAGTCTGCCAATATTTGCTGCATCTGAACCAACCAGCCCCCAGCCAGAGCAACGGGAGAATAAGAGGAAAAGAGAGACAGGGAAGAGAAAGGAACAAGCATCTAGTCTTTCCCTGCTGATCACTTCCAACAGACTTCCTGGAAATCGGAAATACTCACCGCACCCGGGCCCTAAGGGTATAAAACCCAAAATGCCAGGAGCCGCACGCGCCTGCTCTGGGCGGCATTTCTTTGGCTGGCCGCCTCTTGGCTACAGGGATTTGGACACATGAACCTGGGGTTGCTGTCTCTCTTGGCACATGCATCTATCTTTCTCCAGTCACTCCTGAGAAGTTGATGGCGCAGAAAGGTCGGGAAGCTTCGAGAGCCGCCTCCCATTTTCCGCTTCCCGCCGGAGCCAGACGCAAAGCTGTGGTGGAAAAGCCGGCTAACAATAGGCCAGGGGCGGATTCCAGAAAGGACCTAGAGAAGGGGGCGAGGGTCTCCTGCGGGGATGGAGAGGTGGACAGCACAGAGAGAGGGAGTTGGAGAGACGAGGAAAAGAGAGAAGGAAATAAGAAAGAAGAGATGAAAGTGGAAATAAGGGGAGAGAAAAGGGGGGGAGAGGAAAGAAGGGGGAGAGAGGAGAGCAGAGGAGAGGAGGGGGGAAAGATTAGTTCTGAGATCCAGGAGAAATGGTTTGAGGAAGAGTAGGATAGAGCAAACAGAAATAAAAGGGGAACCTCCATTTCTCTCTCTCTCTCTCTCTCTCTCTCTCTCTCTCTCTCTCTCTCTCTCTCTCTCTCTCTCTCTCCTCCCTCCCTCCCTCCTCCTTCCTCACGCCTTAGCAGAACTTATGTGGTTGAGATGCCGGGCCCTCGGGTGTCAAAACTTTGAAGATTAATGGATTACTTTGTTAATGACTGCAGGCGTCAGACTGAGGTGCTTAAATGATTTGTGAGGTGCGAGTCCCAAACAATGCGCCGGAGTGTGGAGTGTGCGGGGGAGCAGAGGGCAGCCGCCAGCGGGACCGGCAGCGGGACTCACACTCGCACACACTCACACCAGATCCTTGCTGATCAGGAGGCTGGCAGGCACCCTCGCCCCCACGCACTCCCGGGCATTTCCACCCACACCCACATATATGTATTTTTGTCCTGAAAAAAAAAAAGTGTAAATAAAGCCTCGCTGGCCCCCAATGAGGCGTTCCTTCCCGACTTTTTTGGATCAATCAAACAGACAGTGGCTTCTTTTGATTAAAGCCCAAATTGTCATTGGGCAGAAGCAATCATGTGACAGCCAATTCGGTCCAATTTCAACCTTGTCTCCATGAATTCAATAGTTTAATAGTAGCGCGGTCCCCATACGGCTGTAATCAGTGAATTAGAAAAAAAACACCCCAGCAGCGATCTTCTATGATAGATTTTTTTTTTCCTTTGCGCTTGCCTTTTTCCTGGGCCTTGCCCCCCCAAAGCCCCTCCAAAAGAGGGAACTTTTCCTCTGAGGGGGCTCCAAGGAGAAGGCCATGAATTACGAATTTGAGCGAGAGATTGGTTTTATCAATAGCCAGCCATCGCTCGCTGAGTGCCTGACATCTTTTCCCCCTGTCGCTGATACATTTCAAAGTTCATCAATCAAGACCTCGACGCTTTCACACTCGACACTGATTCCTCCTCCTTTTGAGCAGACCATTCCCAGCCTGAACCCGGGCAGTCACCCTCGCCACAGCGCTGGCGGCCGCCCCAAGCCGAGCCCCGCGGGCAGTCGCGGCAGCCCGGTGCCCGCCGGCGCCCTGCAGCCGCCCGAGTATCCCTGGATGAAGGAGAAGAAGGCGGCCAAGAAAACCGCTCTGCCGCCCGCCGCCGCCGCCGCCGCCGCCACTGGCCCTGCCTGCCTCAGCCACAAAGGTCAGTCCAAAGACTTGGCCCCAGGTGCCCGGGACCCTCTTTCCCCCTCCGGGCTGCCCCGAGAGCGGCTACGGGGGGGAGGGGAGCGTGGGCGGTGAGGGAAGGGGGAGAGGGAGAGAGAGATGCCTGGTTGCCTTTCCCCTGCTGCCCCCCGTGAGCTCAGGGGTGCGTTTAAGGGAGGACAGGGGAAGGGACCCTGCGCCCCACGACGACGCACATATTTTTAGGACGAAGGGGGAAACTTTCCCAACTTGGGTAATGTGGGATGATTTATTTGAGTTGGAACTGACCTCCTCTTGTCTAGTTGTCCTAGAGTTTGGCTTTTTGACAGTAATGAAGAGTGATAGATCGCTCTTGCTCAGCTAAGCAGCTGATGCATTAATTATAAATTGTGTTGTGGCTAATATAAAGTTTGCTCCCGGATGAAGAGGTTGGGGGTGGGGGGTGGGAGCTACAGGCAGGAATTTGAGAGAGGTGGAGGAGATGGGGGTCTCCCCGAGCTGGGCTCCCAGGAAAGGCAGTACAATAGCTCTCTTCTGCATCCAGGGGCGGCCATTTTGTTGCCGTTGATCTTTTCTGCTATATTTATTCTCCAGTGGAATAACCCCGCTCGGACCCCTCCACCTCCAACTGTGCGTGTGTCTCTTGTTGGTTTCCCTTTCCGCAGAATCCCTGGAAATAGCCGATGGCAGCGGCGGGGGATCGCGGCGCCTGAGAACTGCTTACACCAACACGCAGCTTTTAGAGCTGGAGAAAGAATTTCATTTCAACAAGTACCTTTGCAGACCCCGAAGGGTGGAAATTGCAGCGCTGCTCGACCTGACTGAGAGACAAGTGAAAGTGTGGTTTCAGAACCGGAGGATGAAGCACAAGAGGCAGACCCAGTGCAAGGAGAACCAAAACAGCGAAGGGAAATTTAAAAGCCTCGAGGACTCAGAGAAAGTGGAGGAGGATGAGGAAGAGAAGTCGCTCTTTGAGCAAGCCCTCAGCGTCTCCGGGGCCCTTCTGGAGAGGGAAGGCTACACTTTTCAGCAAAATGCCCTCTCTCAGCAGCAGGCTCCCAATGGACACAATGGAGACTCCCAAAGTTTCCCAGTTTCGCCTTTAACCAGCAATGAGAAAAATCTGAAACATTTTCAGCACCAGTCACCCACTGTTCCTAACTGCTTGTCAACAATGGGCCAGAACTGTGGAGCTGGCCTAAACAATGACAGTCCCGAGGCCCTCGAAGTGCCCTCTTTGCAGGACTTTAACGTTTTCTCCACAGATTCCTGCTTGCAGCTTTCAGATGCAGTCTCCCCCAGTTTACCAGGCTCCCTGGACAGTCCCGTAGATATTTCAACTGACAGCTTTGACTTTTTTACAGACACACTCACCACAATCGACTTGCAGCATCTGAATTACTAAAAATCATTAAAGCAAATCAAAGCATCACAAAACAAAATCCTCCTTGATCAGGTGGTTTTGCCTTCTTTTTTTAATTCCTGGAGTTGATTTTTTTTTTAAATTTTCTTCTTGACCTACCCTTTTCTCCCCTTTAAATGATGAGGATTTTTTGTAATTTCTCTTGACCCAGTTTCTGAGCCATTTCTAACCGATCGTGTTGGAGTTTCAGATGTTTAAAATCCAATCCAATCCAACAGCCCTCTGTGATTTTCCTGAAAGCAATACATAAGGCCTGCAAGAAAGTGATCAAAAATTGTATGGTCACTTTCTTTTTATTTTTGTATTACATTAGGATGCATTGTCATGCGTATTTTTGGTAGAATAAATTCTCCTTTGCTATAAGTAGCTTTCTAATTTTTTTCTCCCTCTCTTTCTCAAGACTCATAATGGTTTCTCTTTCTTCTTCCGATAGTCTAAAGTGGTAAATAAAATTCTGGTCACAATTTACCTTCTTTTCAATTTTAATATATTTATTAAGGTGGCACGCTCAAAGTCTTCAACAGATAGCAACAAAGAATGAGGCCAGAAAATGGCTAGGGCTTCTGACAAGTGTTTCAAAAAATTTTTTTTGGTTTCCAGTATAGGCTTAAATTAGTAATAAAAACAGAATTGGGCAGCCTATGGTGTGCTAAAGCTCAAGCTTTACAAAGTAGAAACATAAAGTGCCTACAGAAATGCCCAGCTCTAGGAATGAATAATGTGGAGTTTCTTTAACTAGCTGCTAGTCTCCATGTTTTTAACTAAGTTATCAACAATTCCTTTATTTATACACATTTGTTTCAAACATCTACATTTTAACCCCTCCCTCACAAGTTTTCCTCCCATCCAGGCATATTTCAGTGTGGTCGATTAATCTCCCAGCTGATAGGTTCAGGCAAAACAGACCTAAAAGATAGAAAAATAAATAAAACAGAACAATGATTACTAGCCTGGAACTCCAAAGCAGAAGAGGTTCTTTCCAATCTTCTGGTTCAGAATCATTCTCCCCCCCCTACCCCCTGGGGTCAAAAGAATCAATATTTCATTCTTAAATCTGTTTACATAGATAAATAATGGATCATTGAAGCTCTAAAGTCAGATTAGCAAGTTATATTTAAAATGGAGAATTTCTTTCCCCTAAATTATAAACTAGCACACTTTTTTAAGGGAGGAGGGGGAAAAGCACTTTAAGTGAAATATCAATAAAATCTGATCTAGGTACGGTGTGTCACTGAACCGTTAGGATCTCCCCCCCTTTCTTCTGTCTCCCTATATTTATTTCTCCCTTTCTGAGCTCTGTTCTGACGGATATTTACTTACCGTGAGAAAAAGCAACATGTGTGTGGGGCGGGTTGATTTAAGAACCCAGCTCTTAACAGCAAAGCCTAGGAAATGACAATCTTTTTTAGTACCTCCTTTCACCCCTTTGCCCACTAAATCCCCGAGGCATTTGGGGACTGAGGCGGGTTCCCGCCCCAGGCTCAGCGCCGAGCAGGGCATCCTGGCTGCGGCCAGGGCTGCGCCACTCCTGGATTCGTCCTAAGCTCATAAATCAACTGCTTTCTATGAATGAGAATGTCATCAAAGAGATCAATTGCAGGAACACATGCACAAATAAAAATCCTCTTACGTATTTGCTGGGGATCCCCGTCCGAAGGCATTAAGTTAGAAGGCATTTAGTCATAATTCATTTTTATTGCTCTTTAAAAACAACAGCTTGGCTGAGCAGCGAATGCTATGAGCGGCTCAGGGCCTCGGCGGCATTTTGTCTCCTCCTCACCCTTTCCCTTTCTGGTAGAAGAGCCCAGAACGAGGCCGATCGAGCTGCTTGCAAACGATCATTTAAATGTTGACCAAGCTTGCTTTTCATCCACTCTCCTGGGACGTTCAAAGAGACTTTAGTCCAGGATCGCTGGCCTACCTGCTCAAAGGACCAAGGGTCTCTAACACCAAGAAATAGCCCCCACTATTGCTCCGAGTGGGGGCTGGGGAGGAACGCGAGCTACGGAAGCCTATGGGCTTCAGGCCAGGGGAGGCTGTCTTTGTGAGCTGTGCGGGCAGAGCAGCACTCCGGGCGGCCGGCCGAGCCCAGGCCGGCCGTGTGGTGAGCGTCCGGCCTGTGGGGAGCGGGGTCAGCGCGCAGAGGAGGGGTGGTCGCTGACTTGTGTCTGTAGGCCTGTAAGTTTGAGATAACAAGAAAACACCTCACTGGCTTCCAGGAGAGGGGATGGGGGGGTGGGGGTGGGGGAAGAAGAGCCCATAGGCCCCCAACTAGCAAAGAAGCCAGAACCTCTGGGGTGGGGAGGAGGCAGCCTTGTGGTAGGTGTTTGGAAGCCAGGAGGACAGTACAAACCGTGGCAAAGGCCCACAAAGAGACAAGAATGCGGCAAGGGGAGGTAGGGTATCAACAAGCATTGGCTGGGAAGCAGTAACCCGCCCCTCCCCCCCAATCGTGCACCCTACATCCCAGGGCTCATTTGACCTATAGTAGGAGGCCTGGGGATCCCAAGGAAGACGCCTGAGAGACAGGGGCCATTGCCTTCTCCAGAATGAGAATTTCCCAGGAGCTGAAACTGAGGCAGGAGGAACTTTATTCTCTGGGCTTCCCCTTAACCGTGCTTGGGTGTGGGTCAAAGGTCACAGAGAAATACCATTGCAAAAGGAAATATGTGTGTGGGTCCAGTGGTACTGAGGCAGCCTAGTCTCAAAAGGTTGCATAGGTTTTCCCTTATGCAGTGGGGGGGGGGGGAGGCACAATTCTGTATGTAGAAAACAGAATGCAGAAGACATGGGGGACTAACTCGGAAATATGTTAGTCTGGAGCAAAACTTCCTCTTCCTAATAGGTAGGAGAGGTGGAGAAAGTAGGGACCCCCCAACCCACATATAATCCTTATTATTAATTTCATTTGTTGCAAACGTGGTCAGAATAAAATTTATGCATCATTGGCTGCAAGGCTGCTTCGTCTGTGATCTCTCCTATTTGACTAGGTCAATTCTTTGCTTGGCCTTTTTCTCTCTGCAAGCCCAGGGTTGACAAGAAACCTAATAGTAAACAACAATTAACAACCCCAACAACATCAGTGCAGGATGGGGGTGGGGGATGGAGAACAGGCCCCTGGCCTGAGATGACGCTTAGATTTGCACATATCTCTCTTGGGGAAAGTCTTGAAGGTTCACACCAGCAACTACACAGTCCGTTGGAAAGGGGAGGAGATGTTGTTAGGGAAGAGGAAAGTGTCCCGTCTATCCACCCTCAGCCATCTGTCCCCAGCCTCTCCCACCTGCCAGCCCCCTCCTCCTCCCTCCAGATGTGAAGATTGGGGGTGTGGTGGAAAAAGAAGGCTCTCCAACTAGTAATGTGTTCCTCCAGGAAAATAAAAACATCATGACTGGGGTGGGAGTGTGTGTGGTGGTGGTGGTGGCGGGGAGCTCTGCATACTTTGCAGAAGCTATTGGTCTGGCCCTCTGAGGCCTGCGTCTGAGCGAGCGCGCAGGCTCCAGGGTCTAGTAGGGCCGGCAGATGGCCTGCAGCGCACCCCCGGGCGGGTACGCTGACCACGTCACCTGGCGTCATCCCCCCCCTTCCCCCCACCCCCCCATCCCCTCAAACTCCCACGGCCGCGTTGCCTAGGATCTGGAAGGGCTCCCGGAGCAAAGCTGAGCAAGGAAAGAGAAAGGGGCGGAGAGCGAGGAAAGAGCGCGCGACAAGTCGGGCCGTGCCAGGCCTTTTTCAGCCAGCTTGGTTTCAAGAGCTCACCCGCCCCCGGGGGTCGAATTACATAAGCTCTGTATTGCTATGCTAATGCCCTGAGGAAGTTTCCAGGCGAAGACCTTAGGTGGAGGAGGGAAGTTTCTTTTCTGATCGCCGTCCCCTCCACACCCACCCGGGTCCTCCCAGCTAGTCCTCTGCCCACGACCCGGTCCATTCTGAGCTTGGCAAAGCCAGTGGCCCAGCCACGCCCTGCTCCACCGTTCTCTGAGCTCCTCACAGTCCCCGTGGCTTCGCGGCAGGAGCTGTCCGGTGGAAGCGACCGGGAAAGCCTAGCGCACAGTGTCCGCCAGACTCCCGGCTTTCCGGTTCCGCGCGCTCCCGGCTCCACCGGGATCCGTGAAGCCACCCCGAGATCTCGGGGTCACTGATTCCCGCCCCAGGAGAGCCGGAAACCCTCATCCCTTCTCACCTCTTGCCAGTTCATCTTTCTGATCGCGGTGGGGAGGGGGCGGGGGATGCCTCCTAGCCCCCACCTCCCGGAGGTGGGGGGGGGGGCGAGCGGAGTCGGGCGCGCGCAGAAGGCAGCCTCAGCGCCCCTGGGTTCCAGCGCTCTGAATCTGCCTTTGCAGCCGCCGCAGCTGCAGCTGCCGCCGCCTGGGCTGCCTGGGGGGGCGATGGCACGTCACCTAGACTGAGGAGCGCCGGGGATTTAAATGCCACTGAAACAGTGATCCATCACCGCCGGAGCCCACAAACTTTCGCAGCAAGCTCCGCCATTGGCTGACAAAGTCACGTGCCCCTCCCCTTGCGCCCTCCGCCTTCCCGCCCCCCCCTTGAGCACTGTACATTCATATCATTTTTCTTCTTCGGCCCCATGGAGGAAGTGAGAAAGTTGGCACGGTCACCCAGGGCTTCGCAGGACCCGGCCACTCTGTGACAGATGGACAATGAGAGAATGAGCTCCTTTCTGGAATACCCCATCCTTGGCAGTGGCGATTCCGGGACCTGTTCGGCGCGAGCCTACCCCTCTGATCATGGGATTACAACTTTCCAATCCTGCGCGGTCAGTGCCAACAGCTGCGGCGGCGACGACCGCTTCCTAGTGGGCAGGGGGGTGCAGATCAGCTCGCCCCACCACCACCACCACCACCACCACCATCACCATCACCATCCTCAGCCGACCACTTACCAGACTTCTGGGAACCTGGGGGTGTCCTACTCGCACTCGAGTTGTGGTCCAAGCTACGGCGCGCAAAACTTCGGTGCGCCTTACAGCCCCTACGGGTTAAATCAGGAAGCAGACATAAACGGTGGGTACCCCTCGTGCGCTCCCGCTGTTTACTCTGGAAATCTCTCATCTCCCATGGTCCAGCATCACCACCACCACCAGGGTTATGCTGGGGGCGCAGTGGGCTCGCCTCAATATATTCACCACTCATATGGACAAGAGCACCAGAGCCTGGCCCTGGCTACGTATAATAACTCCTTGTCCCCTCTCCACGCCAGCCACCAAGAAGCCTGTCGCTCCCCTGCGTCGGAAACGTCTTCTTCAGCTCAGACCTTTGACTGGATGAAAGTCAAAAGAAACCCTCCCAAAACAGGTCAGTCCTGCCGGCCAGAAAAAGCTCCATGACTGATTTTGGAAGGGCTGGTTCGTCTAGTTTTCATGGAAAAGTAATAATGATTTTTTTTTTTTAAAGTAAGGTTCTTGCTTCTGGCTAGTGTTGTAGGTTGTGGAGGAGAACGGGCCAAGTGTGCTGGGGCAAAGGAATCTTTGGAGCTGGTGGGTTTAAATGTTCAGGAAGTAGGTGTGTAACGCGTTGGGGGTGTAGGTGGTGATAGTGTTTCGTTAATATGTCCATTAATCACAGGTCTGACCATGCTAATGGCTGACTTCGGGTTAGCACTTCACACCTCATCACTCACTCTCCCCAGCCGGGTTTGCATTGAGAAGTTTCTTGATCCACCTGGAATATTGCCCTGAAGTGTGCAGGGGATCTCCTATCGGTTTATGAATTTTGACCTTTTCTTTTCCTCATTTTCCTTCCCCCGCTCAGGGAAAGTTGGAGAGTACGGCTACGTCGGCCAGCCCAACGCAGTGCGCACCAACTTCACTACCAAGCAGCTTACAGAGCTGGAGAAAGAGTTCCACTTCAACAAGTACTTGACCCGGGCCCGCAGGGTGGAGATTGCTGCGTCCCTGCAGCTCAATGAGACCCAGGTGAAGATCTGGTTCCAGAACCGCCGAATGAAGCAGAAGAAACGTGAGAAGGAAGGGCTGTTGCCCATCTCTCCGGCCACTCCACCTGGAAGCGATGAAAAGGCTGAGGAATCGTCGGAGAAGTCCAGCTCCTCACCCTGCGTTCCTTCGCCCGGGTCTTCTACCTCAGACACTCTGCCTACCTCCCACTGAGGCCGCCTGAACCCCAGACTCCGCTGCCGCCTTGGGCTGGGATTTCTTACCCAAAGCACATTCTTAGCTTATCTTCCTTTCCATTTTCAGTCTCTCCTTTTTTTCTTTCTGATCCTATCTGTGGAGGCTCCTGGCCAGGATACTGTGTTTCCAGAGAATTCTAGATACTTGGTTGGAGATTAACTCCTTAATCCACACTGGGTATCTGCAGCAACTTCTGAGGGGCTCTGACATCCATCCTTGCTTTTAGCAGATTTCTCAGCCAATGGTCTTTTCCTTTCAGCTGTCCTTTGGAAAGTAGTTTCTTTTTGCTAGCAAAAAACTATGCTCAGAAGGGAGGCATTTTATCTTTTATTTAAGTGTATACTTACATTTCTCCTATACCTTGACCTTGAAAGTAGGATAGAGAGAAAGTTGAAGAGTTCAAGAAGAGGAGATGCAATATGACTGTGCTCACACAATTAATTCATCTCTTAATTTAATTCAATTTCATGTGAGTTTGCTGATTGTAAATACTTTGTCCTGAGAGATTTATCTTTATACAGAGTTTCTAGAAATGCTTAGATTAGGTGACTAAACCAGACAGGGTGGACAAACTCTCAATTTTACATGTGGTTAGAGATGAAAGAATACTCTCATTTCAACCCAATCAGATGCCTCTGAAGGTGCCTCAAACTGTTCTTTCATGGAATTAAGAAGGCCTGAAAAGCACAAGGTTCAGAATCCTGGCATCATGTCCTCTCCCCCCAACCCTATCCATTTCTTCTTGCTTCTCTGTACACCTCCATTTAAAATTTGTGTTGGGTTATTAGGAACCTAATGGTATTCAAATCAACATTTTCTTTCCACCATTATCTTAGCTGAATATGATGTATTTGCAGTTCAATTGTTAATGTGATGGATGGCACAATGAATGTATATTTTGTGTGATTCGTGAATAGTCTTTTGCATGTCGCACAATGTTTTGATGTCCCTGAAGTACCACACTGAGTTCTATCAGTTATCCTTTGTGAACCTATGATATTCCTCATTTCCTGTACAATCATGAACAGCTCTGAGATCCTGGAGTGATAAGATCCAGAGCAGAGTTTACGGGTCTTAAGATGTCTGTAATAAATATATTCCAGTTTCAGGTATGCTTAAGTTTCTGTGTATTTCACTAGACTACAATTTGTTGCTTCCAACAAACTTGCCTACGAAGCAGAGGAAGGATGGTGTGTATTTTCAAAGAAGTGGGCCTTTTCTTGAATAAAAATGATGTTTCATTACCATGTAGCTGGAGTTTCCCCTATGAAAGTTATTTCGCCTAATCAAATGTCTAGTTACTCTGTTGATTCTCTTTAAATAACTGCTCCTTTATTATAATCTAACTTAAAAATGGAAAAAAAATTGTGAAGAAATTTATGAAGCAGATCTATTTTTGAAGCAAACACAGATACTTCCTGGGTCAAGTGCTAACCTTTTCACCTCTAGCTGAATGATGACATATATATAAACAGAGTCCCCTTCAAAAGCTGAAACTACCTTCAGTCAGTCTTTCATCAGTGAACCAGGAGTGAAGAGACTCATATTTAATTACCTCTTGTATAAAGATATTGTGAGTATGAGCCCCGACAACCCCCTCCTTCTATGTTTTGAGATCTGCCATGTAGTGTTCCAGTATATTTCATTCTCTAAATGGAATACAATCTGTTTTCAGTAAGCCCTTATGTCCGTCTATCCATTCTTTTCATCAGCATTCATTCCAGAAGCTCTCCTTTCCTGCCTCTGGGTTGTGGATTTCATGCCTTTCAGACTCAGGTAGGATCCATAGTCATTATGGTTGTGAAGGGTCCACAGTTCTGATTCCATATGGCATGAGTCAGAAAAAAACATTTTTTTTTCTATTTAGGCTCAATTGGTTCTTCCAGGTGAGTTGGTGGAAAGCCACTTTGAAATCTTTGAATATCCAAGTGACTTCTGACCAAAGCAATGTATCAGATCTTCCACAGGGGAAGCCAGCAAGTGATAGGGCTCAAAATGGCACCCCTCCCACACCACTTGTCACTTGTTCTTTACTTTTAACACATTTTTGCAGGCTTTGAACCCTAAGAGCTGAGCAGAAAATTCACAGCTTCACAAATAAATACAGACATACGACTTCCTTTCCCCAATGGGTATTTTAAAAGGATTGGCTGGAGAGACAAACCTTCAAAAAAGAACTTGGGATTTGTAGGCCTTCTAGAGTACCCTTGAGATTTTCCACACATCCCTTTAACAAGGAGATGCCTGGATTTTGCAGGCACAGTAACTGCGGCCATATCAAGGGCGGCCAGTGCCCTCCCTTCAGCTGCTGGGCTCTGAGGTTGCCGGTAAAAGTGGATGGAAAACTTCAAAGGCAGCTAGCCCTCTCTTTCATTGCCCGCTTGGCCTTATACTGTATCTTTTGTTTATTAGTGTAAGACCACACAGCAAAACAGATGGCTGGTTTCCAAATACTTTAATGTGTTAAAGTGTCATTTGCATGCCACTGTCTTGATTTCAATATCTAAAAGCAGGGCCGGACCTGCTGGGATCCCAGATTCCAATCTTCAAGGTGCTGGTTTTAATGTAGCTGAGAGAGAACGATAAATTATGGCAAAACATCCCTAGCCTTCTCTAGGTCATGGAATAAATCAGCTAACAAGCAATGCATTTAGGAAACATTAATACACCTTTCAACAAGGAAAACATTTGTATCTTTTTAGCTGTCCCAATCGATTAAATCAAAGGCGCTTAACACATCTTATTTCAAGGTCTCTCTTTTTCTGTTTTGGTCTCAAAGGAGCACAGTTAGCTTCTTGAAAAATGACAGCAATTGTAACTGAATTGACCTAAAGAAGGAAAACTGAAAATAACATTTTCTTGAGATAAAATAGAAACTAGGGTCTCTACTAAGGACCTCGAATAATTGCAATATAAAATTAATTTTTCAAATGCATTTTCTTTACTTCTTCCTCTGCATTTACCTAATTACTCCCCAAATTCAGGATGTCCTTCAACTAGGCTGAATCGAGTCTTGCTGTGACTCAATGCCTGCTCTGGGCTTCACCTTTGAAAGTTTACTTTTGGAGGCTATTCAGATGCGGTGGTGTTTTCCTCTGGGGCAATCAGATTCAAGCCGATCAATATTTACTCAGTCTGAAAGGGTTGTTGAAAAGGCTGCTAACAACAAACTGCTTAGCTGCTCACCCCTGTTTAATCTCAGGTTCACCGAAAGTTCAAGAAGAGATGAATGCAGTGAGGGGTCACTTTAGAATGAGTCCCAGTGGTTTATCTGAGCTCTCAGCTAAAGGCAACAATTATAGTTTCATTCCTCTTTGGG